CATCACAGACACCCTCACCTGGAATGTAAACACCACAACACTGGTCAAAAAGGCTCAGAAGCGCATGTACTTCTTGCAGAGGATGAGGAGAGCCCACCTGCCCACACCCGTCCTCACCACCTTCTACAGAAGCACCATAGAGTTTTTTCCGTAAAAGTTTAAAAACAATCCGCTGGACTTGGTTTCCAAGGTTTGAAGACTTTTTGTTTCCCCTGCAAGAAGCTTTCTCAATTCAAATGTCTGGATCCGCAGTCAGTTTGAGGCTTTATATAGACAAGGCCTTGTATTGCTTGGAAACATGCAAATTGAAACCAAGGCCTTGTCTATATAAAGACAAACTCACTGCGGATCCAGACGTATGAATTGAGAAAGCTTCCTGGAGGGGAAGCGAAATGTCTTCAAACCTTGGAAACCAAGTCCAGTGAATTGTTTTTAAACTTTTACGGAATGACTATGACCTAGATGACTGTTAATCTCCATCAGCACCATGGAGAGCGTTCTGACCAGCTGTCTCACTGTGTGGTGTGGAGGCTGCAACGTCTCAGACTGGAAGAAGGTGAGGAGAGTGGTGAGAACAGCAGAGAGGATCATCGGGCCTCCTCTTCCCTCAACTTAAGACATTTCATCCCAGCGCTGCTTATCCCGACCCCGTAACATCAATGACCCCTCACAACCCCACCATGGACTGTTCTCACTGCTGCCCTCGAGGAAGAGTCTTCAAAGCGTTGAATGCAGGTCCAGCAACAACAACAGTTTCTTCCCCACTGCCATTAGACTGCTGAGTGTTTTGTAGAATAGGTTATTGTATTTTATTATATATATATATATATATATATATATATATATATATATATATATATATATATATATATATATATATATATATATATATATGCATGCAAATGTTAGAACTGTAAATTTACTGTCAATTTTACTATTTTTCAAGGCTGCACTTTTAAAAAGATGAAATTGTCCAGTGAGCTGTTTACAAACGAAATTTCGTTTTGTTTTACATTTGTGTAAACAAAATGACAAATAAAATCTGTCTAAAGTCTAAAAGTCTAAAGTCTAATGTTCTGATCTTTTTGGCTGACCTGTCTTCAGACTCCTGCTGGATTCTTCTTGTGGACTGAACATGGATCTGCTTTCTGACTTCAATCTGGATTTCCCTTCGGTACCTCTCCGGATCTTTGATATTCTGGCTTGGACTCCTGTGAACCTCTTTCAAACCAGCTTTGCCTTTGCCTTCTGAAAAATCCTGCCTACCTTTGTCTGCTTGCATCAGCTAGTCATTATTTTCTACAGTCTTCAAGGCTTCAGCAGATGGTTACATCTTTCTCCATCATTCTCAGATCACTCAGATTTTGTCTTATTCAGTTTTCCTGTTACTGACTCCTATTTTTTCATGAGGAACCTCCAGTGGTGTATAGGTGAGTATGATTAGGTAATATTATTGAGCCACTACTGCAACTTTACAGGTGTGGCTGTGCTGCTTTTAAACAGAAGTGCATACATGTGGCAGTGTGGGCTTTGAATATTTTTTGACTTGGTAATAAAAATATGCAGCAGGCTGATTTATGTGGGAATTAAGTTGTGTATGTCACAGTGTTAATAGAGTAGAAAGGCAAAGCAAGAATGTAATTTTCCTGTGGTGTAAAGGTTAGGGTTGGGGAAGCCATAATTGTGGAAATGTTTACATAGATTCTTTATATAATCTGTGTGACAGGAGCTTTCTTTTGAAATATTGAGTATCTATTATATAATAAGTGCTAATTGATGTGAAAATGAACAATATTTACATCATTTAAAATTCAAGTAAAAGCAGATATTTCCTCATACAAGCTACTTGATTAAAAAAAGAAAAAAACCCCACTTCATTTGCTTTCCACTGTAACTGTATAATTCTGTCACCTTTATAGCTATTATAGAAGCTTTTTTCAAGGAGATGGGCACCAATGTGATTCACACAAACATTTTTCCAAAACAGCAGCGTATGTGTGAGCCAACTTTTGAGTGAGAGCTGCGAGTCCAGCTGGGTGCTTAAGAATAAATTGATCACCCATAAATGTCACCTTGTTTTCAGCTGCACACTCAGACACTTCTTGCTTGCTGTGGGCTTCTCGCAGTCATTTAGCAGTTTTGAATTGCCAAATTGAAGGCATACCAGTCTTTGTTCTTTAAATTATACCAGGTTTTTTTTTTTATGTTTTTTTTTTATTTATTTCATTTGTAGCATTGACTAAACCTCTAAAAAAAACGTTCCAGTTAATCAAATCCCTTTCCCATCACTTTCTAACCTTCAGCTGAACTAATTTCTTTCCCTTCAGAAGATCCGATTTGTAATGCCAAAGAATTATTAAAATAATAAAAATAATATGACTTTATTGAAGCATAGTAACAGGCCTTTCAGGTCCTGAAAAATTGAGACTTAAGTCACACTTAAAGGCAAAGAAATAGGTCTTTAGACTCTACCTGGGGTCCGTTTCATGAAGCAGGTTTTATTAAAACTCTGTTTCAGTCTCCATACTATCATTCTCCCAGGAGCTAACCTGGTCGGTAGCAGATTTCTTCAGTAAACTGTAAGTGTCCTCTGTCTCCACTCTCCTAACAGTCAATCGTGCTGGTGTATTTTCTGATTTAGTCAGATCTTTGTCGTAGTTTTATGCATAAAAAAAGAAAACAAATCATTAACTATCTCTGTTGGACACATTATTTACATTTCACAGAGAATTAAATATTTATAGAGAAAGGATTCTACAACTCAGTGACAGAATAGGAGATTAATGTCTCTTTGGTTTTTTTGAAAAGAGCGACATGCGGGTTATTTTTAGTTATTTATTTTTACAGTACATGAAGAACTAATTAAATAATTTTCAGATTAAACATAAATGGATTCATTTATTCCACTGGGGAAATTAATTACTTTTGGGTAAATATTAGGATTCACTTGATGAAAACAACGTAATGAGCCTACTGGCACAATCTGAAGCCAATGGGACTGATAGCTGCTAATAACCAGTTATTGGGATGATACCATTCGAAGCAGCTGGAAACAGCCACTCAGTATTTAGACAGAACCAACCTGAACCCCATGAGATTATGAGGTTCCATCTATTAGAACGTCTTTTTTTCTTCATTTTCAGTTTTGGGCACGTTACTTTGTAATTAGTTAGTAATCAGTTATAGTTATTAGTTACTTCTCCCAAAAAGTAACTGAGTTACTCCACAATAAAAGTAACTAGTTACTAGTAAAAGTAACTATTGCGTTACTTTTGCCTTTCTCGCCCCCGTAACCCTCACAACCCAGCCTCCACCTTCTCACCGTGTGTTTCAAAAGCCAACTGAATAGAGTGAACGACAAAGACCAGTACCTGCAGAGAGTTTTGCATTTATTGCAACGTAAATGACATCGGGGGGGGGGAACGCTATCTGACGGGCCTATAAACCCTGTCAGATAGCGTTCCCCCTGCTTAATATGGGGGGAATGGTATCTGATGAGCAGTGTTGGGAAAGTTCTCTTTCTACGTGAACTAGTTCAAAGTTCAGTTCACACATTTTAAAATGAACTAGTTCAGTTCATAGTTCATAATTCCAAAAAATGAACTAGTTCATAGTTCTTTTTTTTTCATATATTGCTCAATTACACCATAGCCTACTGTAGAACCACAGACAGCAATTATTTTATCAGTTGTAACACTGAAATTGTGCGTCAGATTTCATCTTCATATCCAGTTTTGAATCCTTATCCAACCAGGGTTTAGATTAGCATTGAGGGGACAGCATTTCCTCATTGTTGCTTTAATGCTTTGTTGCTGTCCATTCACTTCACACTAGTAGCAGCTGCAGCTTTCACCCCTACAGTATATTCTCAAAAACATCAGGAAAAATGTGCTGCTTGAATGGTCTTTTTTATGAGTAATTATTAAAAGAAAAATAGGAAAGTAGTCTTTAAGGTGCAAATGTTTTTTTTTTATTTTAATAATTTTTTCCATTTGAAATTCCATTTCAATACATACTAAAAAGGAATACTGGAATCCTGGAAAATTATACCAGGCAGGTTTAACAAACAAGTTACATGGATAGTAAAACCCTCAAGAACAGGGGTCTTCTTTTCCAGACCAAGGACCCCCAAACTGATGGCGAGATGGAGCGGGGACCCCCTATTTATATATATTGTATGAAATTGTGTCCTATAGTCACTCTATTACAGATGGAGTAATGTAAAGAAATTAATTTCTCCCTGGGATTATTAAAGTTTTTCTGATTCTGATTCCTGGTTGTTGTGAAGGAAACGGTGCCCAGCTTGAAAGAGCTCCTGTGTGTCGCTGAATGTGAGCATTGATGACTGAAAGACATCTTCTGCCTCCATTTATCTGTTTACTACAGTGTGTTGATTTCATGTTAATGATTATTTAAAGACATTTCAATTAGTGGGAAAAAAAATTGCAGGGGGGGAATATAAAAATATCAACTAACCATGCAGACCCTCATGCAGTACCTCCGTAGACCCCCTAGGGGTCGCGGATCCCCTGTTGAAGACCTCCGCTCAAGAAGATTTTACTAACACAAACTGAGGGACCAGGCTGAGGTAGGAATTTACGGAGCCCCTAAAGGGACATGGAGGAAAAAAAAAACTTTTGCGAGATCTCGCAAAAGTATTGCGAGATCTTGCAAACGTTTTGCGAGATCTCGCAAAAGTATTGCGAGATCTTGCAAACGTTTTGCGATCCACACTCCTTGCTGGTTAGTGGCGGTATTGCACCACATAGTTGTTTGCCAACCGCCATTAAATAGAAGAAGAAGAAGAAGAAGAAGTTAACAGACCATCAATCGGAGAAGTTTATTCATTTCTATTTTAGTATTGGCCTGACATATAAAGACATTAAATCCACACTCGGCTGCAGACATGGATTTGACATTAGTGAGAGACATTTGAAAAGATTAAAAAAAGGTTTTCTACGTCGGCAAACCGGAAATTGAAGATACGGGGGCGAACCGGAAGTAAACCAGACACACAACAGCGGAGGCGCAAAGCGAAAAGGATAAAACGCCCATCTGTCAGCTACAACCATGGAGGACGATTTGGAGAGGTTCTTAATTTCTAGAGAAGTCCCAAAAGACGACATTACACGAATGAAGAGAGACAAGGTCAGTAAACAATCCATTAAATAACCTGACGTAAATTTAGCAACAAGGCATTCGTGACGAAAGTAGAGTGAATAGCTTCGTGAATAGTATGCTATCGTTAGCTAATATTGGTATTATTCGTAGAATTGTAGAAATGCATGATTGTTTTTCTTGCAATTATAGTGAATGCATACTAGCCTAATAACAATGTTAACATGATATCATGAAACTTGAGTAGAGGATAAAACTGGTAACTTTGAACTCCCTGGCTGGTCGAGCATACTGTTGACTGTCAAGTCTGGTTGATTTTTATTTCCGAAAACCTGTATCGTCATTACCAGCTTGTTAACGTTCCTTGCCAGTGATTTATCATAGTATAAAATTTGTGAAATTAATAGAGCCGACATGTTTTCAGGCACGGGTGGTTTAAAGAGCAAAGCTTGTCCTGGTGAGCTTTATTTACAGTGTAATGTCGCTTCATGCTTGCTCAGTATGCGGGATTGCTGCAAAGCCACTACTGTTTATGCTCTAAAAACGTTCTAAATGACTTCGTTTCGAGTAAATTCTGGATGCTACCCACTCAGGAAACTTGGAATACATTGGACGAGCAGTATGGAGGAATATTGACACGTTTTTTGTGGACTTTTATGGACCTTTCTGTCTCGGTCACCATAGACCTCCATTATTTGAATGTCAGCAGACAGCAAGAAGCCTCCCAGATCTCCAGATGCATTTGAGATATCAAAAAAGTACTCCAGGGTGTTGTTCAGCATGGGAGTGAGTAGAAAATGAAGGCTAATCATGTTTTGGGTGTACTATTCCTTTAAGATGACATGTTTTAATGAATTGGCACTATATAAATAAAATTTAATCGAATTGAATTTATTTAGCAAAGTACACCTTGCAAGCAGTTGGAATCCTTTCCAATCTGCATTTCTTGACTATTTTATCAAGCATCAGAGTAAAACTATAAAATAAATAACAACTAACGACTATATAAAGGTCTGTGACACTTTTTTTTTTTACTTTATTAGGATGACTACCTTTCTGAAACATACATTAATTAATGTAGAGTACATTTCAAATAAATTTGAATAATTGATATTCAAGTTAGCAAATTAAATATTTATTTTAAATGATTAACCATAAGGATAAATTGATTAAATGCATTCATTCATAAATGGGTTGTGTATGCAAATTCATAGATAAATCTATACCTGTCTATAAGATACTTGGTTATAGGTGGAGTTTTAGTTATATAGCTTAACTCACACAGGGTCAGGTTTTCGCTTTTTTCAGGTTGAGATAACCTGGACGCACAATGTTTTTGTGCCATGAAATGGAGAACGTCAACCACAGAAGTTTTTAATTTTTCCATGCTGAATCAAGGAATCCTCATCTTCCAAATTAAATGGTGCATTAATTGCAGTGATTAATGAAATTATTTAATGCACAAAAGTTGACTTGTGTCAGAACGAATGCTAACACAGTATATTTTATAGGGCTTTTAAAACTTTTTCTAGAACAATCTGCAACTACACTGAATAAGTTAATACATGGGAATACATAAATGGCATGTAATTTGCACTAAACTAGATTTCTGATTGTCTTGATGCATCTTAATAAGCAAAGTATAAAAAAAATTTCTGATTCATCAAAATAGATACAATGCACTGTACTGACACTAGTGTTTCTCTCTTCTGTTTGCAGGTTGACAAAGCAGTGTTGCGCATCATGAGTGATGAGCAAATGTCAAAATACATAAACACATATGGTGATAGAGTAGCTGTGCTATCTTTCTGTGAACAAACACAGTGCCAAAGCATCAGTAAAGACACTCTTTTAGAGAGATTGAAATATAAAATAGGGGCACGCAAAATGAAATCAAAGACAAGAGGATCACCGAGTGGAACCCCAGACGAACTCCAAAATACCATGGCCAGAGAAAGAAATAGGGCAGGAGAGAAGGCTTCAAGAAAGGTTGAAATTGGATGGCTTCATTTTGGCATTAATGGATACAGTCAAGTACGGACCAACAGTGGGGGAGGCACGAGACATTCTACAATGGCAAAAACAGCTACTGTTGCTCAGATCATGGAATTAGGAAAAGAACTATTTTTTCCTGATGGGCAGTCCACAAAAGGGCAAGCTGAAGACTTCACGTTTGACATCTGCGATTTTAAAAGGAACAAGATTCCCTTTAATCACACTGTTGGCCAAATGTATGAACAAACTAAACTAAAACTTCTCAGATTTTACATCTGTACTAAAGAGGGAGCTCCAAAAGATCACTCATCTGAGGAAAATGGTCAGTTTGAAGATGGATCTCAGTCAGTCATCACAGATCTGCAGGATAGTTCATATTCAACTGATAGTGACGGAAGCGCCCAGGTATATGCACATATATTTGTAATAAATAATATAACGATACTGACATGGACAGATGTTAAGGGGACAAGAGTCACTAATAAAGTTAGTGACTCTTGTCCCTAACTTTATTACAATTGTCCATCTATATATACAGTGAGGTAAGTATTGTAGTTGTTGGATGATGTGTTTAAGTTTTGAGGAACGTGCGTTCACCTCCATTGTGTTTACTGAGCTGCTTCATGGTTCAAAAAACGTCAGGTGCTGCTGAATGAAGGGAATAGTCATATTCATATGACTAAGTATTATTACATAGGTAAATTTGTCAGTATGTTCAACCACCCCTTTAATAGATTTTGTGTTTTAACATGTATTGTTACACAGCATTTATTTTTTTGATTACTACTGAAGAAATTAAAGCACTGTGTCTTTGATTTGTTTTCAGATGCAACAAAGATCAAAAAGGTTAAGGAAAATATCTGAGGATGAGACAGCACAAAGTCCAGGTCCATCACATCCCTTTCAGTCAACCCCAACAGACATAAAAAATAGCAGCATTGACGGAAGAGAAAACACGAGTGACGTCACTTTACCGGAACCGGGCCCCTTGTTTGACGAGGCAGATACACTTGTGTGGGATTCGGACGATGATGTGGTGGTTATCAATTTAAAACATGTTGATGAGGATGACACACAGGTAATATTTTGTTTACAATTTCTTAATAAAGATATACATTTTGGGGTTGCACAGTGGGTAGCGCTGTTGCCTTGCAGCAAGAAGGTTCTGGGCTCAAATCCAATCCTGGGTCTTTCTGCATGGAGTTTGCATTTTCTCCCTGTGCATGCATGGGTTGTCTCCAGGTACTCTGGCTTCCTCCCACAGTCCATAAACATGACTGTTAACTGGCTCCTCTAAATTGTCCTTAGGTGTGAGTGTGTGCGTGAATGGTTGTTTGTCCTGTGTCTATGTGTTGCCCTGCGACAGACTGGCGACCTGTCCAGGGTGAACCCCCGCCTCTCACCCAGTGAATGCTGGAGATAGAGCCCAGCGACCCCATGAAGGATTTAGCGGGTCAGAAAATGGTTGGATGGATGGATGTTTTGAATTTTAATATCACATGTTTGATGGGGTATTAAAAACAAATACTAATTTTTATATTTAATGAAATTGGGAGTCAGTTAAGTCCTTTCGTCTAATTACTAGAATTGTGCAGCAATTTTATCTTTGACTTATAACTTTATTGTACTGTTATGTCTCTAATATGTAAAATATTTTAATTTTTATCCTAAAACCTAAGTGGACTTCTTAACATTGTCTGGAGTGTTCCTGATGTTGACTGGAAGTCATGCTCATGCACAAAAGTAATTATGAAAAACTTTTTTGAAAATAAATCTGATTTTAGGGTTAATGTATCTGCTGTCTTTTATTGTATTCTTCAGAGGACAGAGTTGGGTGGTGCTCCTACACAGGTGATAGAGCTTCTACTCCCTTCAGGTGATGGCCTGCTTAACCTGGATGAGCAGCAGTCCATACACGAGGAAGCAGTGCAAGCTGCCCAGGTAAGACACACCACTTCAAACAAATTGATGTCATCAGTGTTAACTATTATTGTGGTAGGAGATCACAAATTTTGAACAGAAACCAGTGTGAGAAGGGGTGCAGTTTGTAACATGGTCTCATAAAAATATGCTTGAGATGAAGGCCCCAGGGGGCTGAGGGTGCTACAGAACCCCCTAGTGGGGAGAAATAAAAATCGTCGGTGAAAAAGAAATCAGAGAAGTAAATAAAATAAATTAATATCTTCCAATATATCTCCCAATATCTTCTAATGTTTGATGCATTCTCACTTTAATTACAAATGTGATATAAATCCAATAAAGCATTTTTTACAGAAATAGGCTGTAGTTTTAAGCTTTGTTAGAACCCAAATTTTGTTAATTTGTGATATTAAAGGAATTCTTATCTTAGGGTGTTTTTTCTCACCTCGATCTTTAGGTCAATCTAAATTTAGATTGACTTAAATATGGTCCAGTTTGACACAGTATGATAGCACAATTGCACTCTAATGCTTAATAAACTAGTGCCGCCTGAAGAGATGGTCTCAGTTTAGCTCTAGCCGAACTCTGGTGCGCTCTAGTTGACGTCTGAAAACACCATACTCTGGTGTGACTCCACTGCCAGGTATCTTCACATGAATAACATTGTTTTTACATTATGACATCTTAGGCGCATAGATAACCTAGTTGGTAATCAGTAACCTTCTAACAAACATGCCAAAATTTAGGATACTTTGGCCTCTGCTTTATTCTTTGACAATTCTGATTTTTAATTGTGTGTTTTGTTCTTCTAGCTGGACAGTGGGCTAAATTTCAATTTGCCCTCTCATTCAAGCAGCCACATGCCAACAGACAGCAACCCAGGAAGTCCCCAGACCACACGGCGTGCTTCAGTTTGCAGGATAAAGGTTATTGATGATCTTTTGCCTGTATTTACTGACAGCAGCATCATGAATATGACTTTAAAGATGGACTTTGTCAACGAAAAAGCTATTGATGATGCCGGAGTGTCTAGGGAGGTGTACACAGCCTTCTGGGAGCAATTTCTTGAACAGTGTGAAGGAGAAACAGAGCGAGTTCCAAGGCTTAGGCCAGATTTTTCTGAGGCTGAATGGCAAGCAGTTGGACGGATTTGGGTTAAAGGATTTGTAGATCATGGTGTTATGCCAGTAAAGCTATCAATGGCTTTTATTTTAGCATGCATCAATGGAATTGACCATGTTGATACAGACATCCTGATGTCATCATTTCTCAACTACCTCCCTCCCATTGAGAGATCAGCTGTTGAGAAGGCTCTTCAGGGAACACTGGATGAAAGTGATCAAGAGGACTTGCTTGACCTTTTCATACGGATGGGTTCACATTTCCTACCTCCAGAGAACAACATGAAGCCTGCCATAGAACTAATGGCACACAAAGCAATTCTCCAAGAGCCCAAATTTATTGTAGATTGCCTCTCCACACCCATGTCACTTGTGAGGTTTAAACTACCAGATAAGGAAAGTGTGTTGAGTGTTTATGAGTTAAAGAAGCCTACGGGCAAAAGAGTAATGCAATTGCTTGAAACTAATAAGGTGGTGCTGTCTCAAAGAGAACAAACAACCTTAAACCATCTCCAACGTTATGTGAAAAATGCTGATCAAGCAAAAGCTGAGAAAATCCTACGCTTCTGCACAGGTTCCTCAGTTATATGTGTTGAGAAGATTATGGTTAGCTTTAATGCTGAAACTGGCCTCAACAGAAGGCCTGTTGCTCATACCTGTGGAGCTACAATTGATGTGCCATGTACATACAGTTCTTACCCAGAATTTCGGACAGAGTTTGACAATATCCTGTCCAGCAATTACTTAGAAATGGACATCATTTAAATGTGGGACCAGGTTTAACTAGGCCAAGAAGTAACTGGCCTCATGGTATGGTTGATAATCATTTATTTATGTATTTATGTTTTGTCATTTAAACATCTGATGCACTGACATCATGATAAGCAGTCTCATTTCCTTTTCAGCATGCACTTTATTTGTTTTACTGGTGCAATAATACACCTCCATTTTTTAACAGATTTTATATTTTAAATTATACTTTGAAAATGACTGCAGCTTTCTGTTTGATTATTTTAAATCTAACCCAGTTTCTATGCTGGACTTCTTTTTTTAAAAGCATATAAGGGTGATATTCTGTTATTTACATAATTGTTAATCACTGGTAGAATTAGTGATTGTTCCTTTTGAAGTCATGCCAGTTAGTTGCTTATTCAGAAGCAGTTTAAAACTCAATACTAAGATACCTATCCAGTGTTCCTGTTTACAAAATGTATAAGCAGTCTCATTTCCTTTTCAGCATGCACTTTATTTGTTTTACTGGTGCAATAATACACCTCCATTTTTTAACAGATTTTATATTTTAAATTATACTTTGAAAATGACTGCAGCTTTCTGTTTCATTATTTTAAATCTAACCCAGTTTCTATGCTGGACTTCTTTTCTTAAAAGCATATAAGGGTGATATTCTGTTATTTACAAAATTGTTAATCACTGGTAGAATTAGTGATTGTTCCTTTTGAAGTCATGCCAGTTAGTTGCTTATTCAGAAGCAGTTTAAAACTCAATACGAAGATACCTATCCAGTGTTCCTGTTTACAAAATGTATAAGCTGAGTTTGTCTGTGTAATATGCCCTTCTGAATTATTACAATGTTTCCATCATATTGATCTAATGTACTACTGTAACTTCATGCTATCACATGTATTTTTTTATGTGAGTGCATTTGCCCAAGAAGTGACCTTGAATGTTTGTATAACTTTTTTTTATTGACAAACTAGTCAGATTTGGCAAAGTTTACATTACCTCAGGGTTTCAAATGTTTGTAAATGTTTTACATACAGAAAAATTAAAAAAGAATTCCGCTACACTAACATTAAAATGTGTGGCTTTATTCACAGATACTGTATCTTCACTATTAATTTGTCACTGCACACAGGCTGATACTGATGGTTATTTACATCTAAGACATAGAAAACATTTTGTGAAATGTTAACAAAAAATAATTTAAATGAATAATCAGCTATTAAAATGGTTTGGTATTAATTGTTCCCCTACAGGGCATTTTAAATATTCCTGACTTAAATAGCTGCAGTGATGGCCTCTCTTAGGTGCCTGTACAGGTTCACAGCCTGATAAGGATCTCTTGGTAGAGTCAGATGTGACTCCGACATTAAGATGTTGCATAGTCCATACACATCTGGATCACATGGTATCAGCTGCCGAAAAACACATTCGTCTTTGCACAACTGAATATGTTCATCTTCAACAAGGGATAGAAAGTCTCTGGTCCCATAGAGTTGAGGCAAGGCATACATCACATTCGGTCTACCACTGGGGACACTGATGTTTTTCGATGGTCTGATGGTGTGTGCATTCCAAACTTGGACAGTGTCCTCCAGTTCATCCTGTTAAAAATACACAAAATACATTTAGGAGGAACTGTACATACATGTAAACTTAAAATAGTTCAAAAACGTATCCAAAATTGGCCTTTCTTTCTCTCCTCTCCCCTGCTCCCTCCAGCTTTCTCTCTCCTCAGTCTCACACACATTTACGTCAAAACACAAAACTCACCTGGATCAGTCCCATGCAACAAAACTGAAGGATAGCCTTGTCCAGAAACCCGCCGTCAAAATATCCAGTGTCTCTGATGTCTGCAAACAAGGATAACCAGAACTCCACGCACTGGTTTCGCAGAAAACCCCACCAACACTCGATCCTCTGATTGGCGGTGCTTGCTCCCTCCAGGTAGCTATCAACAGTGCCGTCTGGATGAAACGGGACGAGGAACCGCTGAAAGCCTCTAACATGGCCGTTTTCAGTCCCTAAATCGCCTCTCACAATCCTAGGGCAGCCCCCTAAACGTTGGACTGCATCAACGTAATAACCCCCAATCAACTTGGGGTCACTACTCGTGGTATAGACATTAAGCCAGATGATTTTTCTCGAAAAACCGTCAATGCTTCCGTTGATACAAAAGCCATATGGCTTCAGCTTGTCATAGCTGTCCATGTGCCAAATGAAGTTAGGCCCTCTCGAAAAGTAGCTCCGTCGTCTTAGGCGTCTTGCTTGCCTTAAAGAAACTCCTCTAGGATCTAGCTCCTTCAGCACCAACCTCACATCCTCCTTCTTAACGAGTAGTCCATGCTCTCTGCACTTTGCGTACATCCACCGGTACCCATGAAGCTGACCAGAGAACTGTAGCTCGTTACTGATGAATTCCACCAGGACCGCAAGATCACTGTATTCTTTACGACGAGAAAGTCCCCTCGCCCTGAGTAATCTTTTCAAATGTCTCTCACTAATGTCGAATCCATGTCTACATCCAAGTACGGATTTGATGTCTTTATATGTCAGGCCAATACTAAAATAGAAATGAATAAACTTCTCCCATGGATGATCTGTTTGCGCCTCCATTGTTTTGTGTCTGTTTACTTCTTCTTCTTCTTCTATTTAATGGCGGTTGGCAAACAACTATGTGGTGCAATACCGCCACTAACCAGCAAGGAGTGTGAATCAGGACATCTGTTTTACTTTGCGAGATCTCGCAAAACGTTTGCGAGATCTCGCAATACTTTTGCGAGATCTCGCAAAACGTTTGCAAGATCTCGCAATACTTTTGCGAGATCTCGCAAAAGTTTTTTTTTTCCTCCATGTCCCTTTAGGGGCTCCGTAGGAATTTAAGGTTACTGAAGTGCGGATTTTTTTACTGAAAGCCGGCGGGCAAACTTGTTGCCATCATCCTCACCGACCACCTGGTCATAAACCTGTTTTAAGTGATTATACTGCTGCTTTGTCGCCTCAACGGTCGCCTCCATGCTGCTGCAGCTTTAACGCTGCATTTTGTTTTGATGACACACGCGGCTGTAGGCTATGACGCTGGTAGCTGCTGTTGCCAGATTGGGTGTTTTTCCCGCTACATATTAAGGCCTGTTTACGGTGTGATTTAGCCGGGGTTTCGCCTGGAGGGCTCTATAGAAATCTGGCAACATATTAAACGGAGTTGAACTGAGAGAGCGAGCCGTTCACAGACACCAGAATGAACGAGTTCACAATAACGTTCACCAGGCGGTAATGCAGTACGTTCAGTTCACGTTCGCCCAAAATATGAACGAGTTCATGAACTTTCGTTCAATGAACACGTTCAGGCACAACACTGCTGATGCGGTGTAAATATCATCAGGCTGCATTACCTCTACTCATGGGTGCATGTAGTGCTACTTTAGGAGATAATATATTCGTAACATGCAGTAAAATAGTAAGCGGTTTATTACTGAATGATGTCATTGACAAGTCTTTATGCTGAATAATGAGGAAAACTGAGCAACCAATGCATGTCATGCTGGGTTCTCTAGTGAGACCCAATTATGCAGAACACCACGGAGACGGAAACTGAAGTAAAAGGTTTAACAAAGTTTATTGTCACAAGCACAAGATATTTCACTGGTTCAGGTTCACGTCTGGGAAACTGGTTCACAGGAGTCTGCGTGGGAGACAGTTCAGTTAGCGTTTGATCAGAAGAGTTTGATTCAGAGAGTTTCTGGTTTGTACCTTGAGAGTTCTTGGTTAAAGCCTTGAGAGGGAAACTGTTGGGTCCAGAGATAGTTTGTTCAGCAGAGTCCGTTAACTGCTTCAGCGTCTTACTTCTAGAGAGAGAGCAGACCTTGGCTTTGAGTTTCCAGCTCTTGGTCCAGAGCTGCATGGAAATCCAGAGAGGAGTCTTCAGGTTTGGCTCAGAGGGCAGGCTCGGCAGGTTAAGCTCTTCCAGAGCTTCACAGGAGAAAAACAGGTTTCCTGAAAGCAGAGACAAAGGTTAGAATCCAGTCTGGATTCAAAAGTCAACGAAGGTTCTCAGAGATACTAGGCTTAGGTGCTAACCAACTGGATTAAACACTGCGGCGTTGAGGCAAGGTCTGAAGACAGCTTAAATACTGTGGATCCTCTGATGATGGGATGAGCTTCAGCTGTGCAGGAGGCTCGGCTCAGGAGGATCCATGGCGGACTCTGCTGGAGGAAGGTGGTACTTCTCCAGCTCCCAACATTGCAGGTTTAACAAGAGATCATCCTCTTACAACAGTGAAGTTATTCATAACAATTCTGGTGTAAAAACAGCTTATAATTCCTTTATGGAAATATTCAGCTCACTTTGGGATCAAGTTGTCTTAAACGTTGTAAGAAAAGGAAGCTAAATTCTTTTTGGATGACTAAAGGACTGCTACATGTATGCAAAAAGAAAAAAAAATATTTGTATGAACAGCTTAAAAAGGATAGAACAAGTGACACTGAATTTAAGAACGATTAATGAAAAATATTTAAAAACAAAGTTAAAGGGAATATTGCCCTAAATTACATGATGGTATAATAAAGAATATTCAAAGAAAAGAAAGGTAATCAGAGATAAGGAGGAAAATGTGGAAACATGTAATACTTTTTTTTGTGAATATTGGACCTGAGCTTGCTGCAAAAATACAAAAGACTAACAAACCTTTGTGCAATTTAACAAAGTAAAATTAAATTGAATGTTTTTCACTTTCACTGATGAACATGAAGTGTTGGAGAACATAAGGAAATGCAATAACAAAAGATCAGTGGACATTCATGGAAAAGACATGAGAGAAAGTCTTTGAATTGTCCTAGAATCACTCATCAAACCAATAACACGTCTTTATTTTAGTAATTTCCCTTTGGCCAGTTTCCTTCAAAACTGAAAATAGCTAAAATAATTGTGTTACATTAATCAGGACATAAACGCTCTTTTTCCAATTACTGTCCCATCTCTCTGTTACCTCAGTTTGCTAAAATATTAGAAAAATTATTTCATTTAAGATTTCACTTATTAGTGCCAATTCACAGCACATCTCAAGATACTTTAATCTGAAAAACTCACACGAAAAGACAATTAGGAGAAATTTATTGATACAATTACTTTGTCTTTAGCGCTCAGACCTCGGCAGGAGAAACACAGCTTAATTTTGATAGATATGCATGAAAGGGAGCAAAGAATAGGGCTGTTTCCCTCCCAGGCCTGAAACTGGTGGTGGAGTGGAGATAGAT